GGGGCCCGCTTGCTCGGTGGTCTTGTCCAGGGCCTGCCAGTTCCCCGTGGGTGTGTGTGGAGGAGGGACTTGGCTGCGAGGGTTGGGCTACTGGTTCCCCAGGGAGGAGGCTGGATGAGCGTACATCCTGCCATGTATAAGGAGCGGGGAGGGCTTCAGAGAACCACAGTCCCTCAGCAACGCGAGGGCTGCTGGGCACAGCACCAGCTTCCCCAGTCTCACATCCCATCCCACTACCTCCCCCACCTCAGGCCAGGTTGGACTTTCGTTATTTCACAGTCTGGATACTCCCCTACTTCCCAAGAGCAGCACTAAGAGACTCAAGCTGAAATTAGAGCAGAACTCAAAGAACGTCTAGGCCTGAAGCATCATTAACTGGTCAGGCACCAAGCTGGTCATAGGATACCCATCAGAGAGAGCGGAGTTGGGATCTTCCCAAGGGCAAGCGGCAGTAGAGAGTAGCACACAGTTTTGGATCCCTGAGTCAGCCTCTTAAGTCACACTGGCTGTCTCCCTGTTCGAAGAAAAGAGACAGACACACTGTTCCCATTTCTTAGTGGAGAAATGGTGCCCAGAGAGTGGGGTGCTGCCCAAAGCCCCCATGCCAAGCCAAAGTACAGCTAAAATTCCTCTCATCTGCCTTAGTACCAAGTCTCCAGACAGCTAGAACCAAAAGTCTGGAAGGAGACTTCAGAGGTCCTTAAAGCCATCACCTGGCAGGGGCTAGATTGTGGAGCCATGGTAACATGCGATGCTCTGCGACGCTGACCCACCTAGGAGGGCTCCAGGTTCACACTTGGAGACCTCCCTGAGTGTATCAGGCCCATACATGCCCATGATCCGGGGCTGGCTGAGGCTAGTGATTGACACCGGCATCAAGTCCCTGTTGGCGGTGCTGTCTCTCTCTGTCTCTTTTTCTGACTCTCTTGCTCATGAAAGAAATAAAAATATGAACTTAAAAAAAAAAGCCCCCTGCCTTCAGCAGCTGGGACAGAAGCAAGTATGTCCTTTAGCCCTCAAGGAGCCAGTTCCCTGTGGACAGTAACTCGGGCAAGAAGGACCCAGAGTGAAGCGTCATAGTCCTGAGCACTGGAGAGGATGACAACGTCAAAATGCAAGAGCAGAGATCTCGTCCCAGGTTTCTGCCTCTCCCCGGGGCTCTTACAGCCTGAGACCTGGGATTCCCCACGTGCTCTCTTTCTCCGAAGACCATCAGCTGTTTCTGTAGTCTCGACCAGAAGTGAACCAAATCTCTGCTCTTTCCATTTGCACCTGGTCACTCTAGTGCCATTCCCTCTGGCCTTCCTTATTTCTGTTCCCAACCCTGAACTCATATGACTGATTTTCAGTAAGTCGGTGCTGAGAGAGGAAGGCCTGCCTCCTCCCCCACCCGTGGGCAGGGCGCACTGAAAACCAGGCACGCAGACATCTCCTCTTGCCTCTGGGTCTGCGAAGCTGGGAGCAAGTTTCTTCACCTGCCTGAACCTCGGCTTCCCTACCTGTGACACGGGGGGCAGTGGTGGAAGTGATGGTTTCTAGGAACCCTGCAGTTCTGAAAGGGTTCATGGAGGAAGCCATGGTATGGGGGTGGCTGCTCAGAGTGGAAGGAGCCACATGGGCCCCGAGGTGGGCCACTCTGTCCCATACACAGGCCTGTGTGTGCATGCAGTCAAGAGCCAGGTGCATGGGAAGGAAGGGCTGCTGCTTAGGGCTCCTCCCCACCTTCAGCAGGGAGCTACCTGAGGAGGAAGTGAGGACAGCAGTGGCTTGGTGCTGAGGCGACACCCTAGCTCTGCAGTATGCACGGAAAGGGGCTCGAACCAAAGTCTTTCTTGGTTCCATGTGGGTCTGACTCAGACCAAAACACCTTTCTAATTTGGCTTCAGGCCAGTCTGTCCAGTGGTTTGATAAAAAGAGTAGTTGAGGACCACCAGGTGGCATGGAGGTTAAGGTGGCTGGATCCCACATGGCCTACTCTACAGTTCAAATCTCAGACCCAGGGGTTTGAAAATCATATTAAGTGAGAGCATGCATGCCCAAAATCCCAAGAAGAGAATAGAGAAGGGATTGCAGCATGGCCATCCCCTCTGCGGGGATGATTTTCCACTTTCCCTCTCTCTTTCTCTCCAGCAAGCACACATACCCTATAGCAAACTGAAAAAATAAAAAATCAAAAAGCATAATGGAGCCAAAAGTCACTGCAGCCTTGGAGTGGGGTTGTAAGGGGCTGCAGTGTAGTGTCTCCGTTCTGGCTGAGGTCTTTGTGCATGTCCTCCTAGAGGCCAGGGACATAGTTTTCTATTTGTATCCAGAGTCTAGGTTGGGGCTGGCCCACACAGGGCACCCGATAAATACTGAGGAATAGAAGGAGGTAGAAGATCCTCTCCTCTCAGAAGAGTGGGGTGTCCCTAAGATGTCTCTTCCTTGCTGCTGGGCATTCTCAACTGACCTCTGGGTGCCCAGGAACCCCTCAGAGCAGTGTCCCCCTTACCCTGTAGGGCATGTCTCTGGGCAAACCCCAGGGGTGACTGCCACCCCCTGCACTGTGCATCAGTCTCCTCCCCCAAGCTGGTAAGAAGGCAAAGTGAGCAGAGCTAGGTGAGTAGCGAAACCCCAGCAGTGCCACCCTTGGCTGTGTATTTGAGGCAAGTTATGCCACCTCTCTGGGCCTCTGTTTCCAGGTATTTAAAGTGAAGACAGTGATGCCGGCTTCCTAGGGTTCTTATAAGAATTCCCTGAGATAATCCTAAGAACTTAGCACACAAAGGCCTCTATTCCCCTCATCCCTCCCCAACACACAGGGCAAGGAAGCTTTGAGTAGCTGAGTCCTCAGCCAAGAGCACCCCTATTGACCTCCAGCCTTCCCAAGCTGCAGAGGGCTGGCAGGCAGAGGTGGCAGTCACGGAAAACCAGCTCAGCAGCATGTGGCACTCATAACCGGTCATGGACACTCTCCCTGACCTGAGGTCACGGCCAGAGCACAGCCCCTCCAGGGAGTCAGGAGCAGACTCCAGGGCCAGCTGGAAGGGCAGTGGATGTCTGTGGCTGCAGAGGAGGCAAAAGTGGTGGGCGAAGCAAAGGAGGAAGAGTGGGGGGCCTGCGGGCTTGAGGTGATGAGGTCACAGTCCCTCTTCCTCGTAGGATGGATCAGGGAGGAGGACAGAGGAAAACAGAACCCAGACAGGACGAGTGGGCGGCCCCTTACTTTCACTCTCCTCGGAGGAGGATGGGTACGCGATGCAATTGGAGGGTGCGTCTTTGCCTGTGGGAGCAAAGGAAAGGGTATTAGGTGGGTATCAGGCCCAGCAGGCTGGGGAGGCTTGTCCGGGCTGGCATCCCCCTTCCCTGTTAGTTACATCATTGCCTCTACCACCATGACTGTGGTGTTGCTGCGAGCCACACTCCCAACCCCTGGGCTTTAGCTACTCCCCAGCTGCAGGCCTTGGGAGAGTCAGCTGACCTCCCCAGGCCTCCGCTCCCTTATCAATACAGGAACCTGATTCCAGGTGCAGACACCCTCACATTAAAATGTCCCACTGTGGGGAGTAGTGGGGAGGGGGGGTAGTGGTTGAGGTGCTGGACTCCCATGTGGTCAACTGCATGCAGTTCGAGTTCCAGACCCAGAGTCTTGAAACTCACACCGAGTTTGTGTGCATGCATCCCCAAGATCTCGAGAGGAGACTGGAGAAGGGACTGCACCATGGCGTTTCCCCCAGGGGGTGATTTCTTGCTTTCTGTCTCTCTAGCAGGTACACATACCTTATAGCAAAGATCTCTCAAAAAAATAAAAAATAGTCCCACTGTCTGGGGCCAGCAGGTAGCATAGTAGTTAAGGTGCTGGACTCCCACGTGGCCAACTGCAGTTTGAATCCCAGACCCAGAGGCTTGAAACTCACACAAAGCTCACGCGTGTGTGTGTGTGTGTGTGTGTGTGTGTGTGTGTGTGTGCCCAAGATCCCAAAAGGGGAATGGAGGAGAAGGGATTGTGGCATGGCCATCTCCCCTGGGGAGTGATTTCTCACTTTCTGTCGCTCAAGCAAACACACATGCCCTATAGCAAAATTCTCTCCTAAAAAAAAAGAAAGTCCCCTAGGGACCAACAGCGTAATGGCTATGTCGCTGGACTCCCACGTAGTGGACCACAGTTCGAGTCCCGGACCCGATGGCTTAAACTCACGCCGGGCGCGTGTGCGTGCGTGCCCAAGATCCCAGGAGGAGAATGGAGGAGAAGGGATTGCGGCGTGGCCATCTCCCCTGGGGGGTGATTTCTCGCTTTCTGTCTCTATGTCTCTCTCTGCCTGTCTGGCAAGCACATGTACCCTATAGCAAAAACCTCTCCCCCCCCAAAAAAAAAGTCCCCACTATCACACATAGAGCCATTCACACATGGAGCCACTCCCTCTCCATCACCCCAGCTAACCCACACCCATGACCACCCCATCTGACACACACACATCCCAAAATGCCAATGTCACCCAGATCACCTCTCACATTGTCATGTGTGGTCCTGCCATCAGCACCACACATCATGGCATCACGCCCCACTGCCCCACAGATGGGCCCAGACCATCCACCTACGGCTCCCCATACTGCCTGGGCTGGTAGGCAGCATGCCGCACCTGTCTGCACCTGCAGATCCATGGCTCCGTAGACCCTGTGCTCCGAGTGATGGTGTCTGACCTCCACCACCAGGCAACAGTAGAGGCCGCCGTCCTGTGGGGTCAGGTTGCGCATGGTGATGGAGAAGTTGCCGTGGTGGTCGAAAGCTGACTCCAGCCCGTGGCGCTGGGCCAGTTCATGGCTGGTGTTGGCAGTCTGGTGGCCGCCATGGTGCAGGTGGAGGTCCTGGAACGTGAGGTTGCGGATGGGCCGGCGCTCCGAGCAGGCCTGCACCTCGCCCCGTGAGCTGCGGTACCATGTCTTGTAGAAGGTCACATCGTGCCCTTTGGCCACAGGGCCCAAGATCCTGCAGGTGAGGGTGACGTTCTGCCCCTCAGGACACACGTACAAGGAATACGGTGTGGCAACCTTGAAGGCGGCCACCAGACCTGCTCAGAGAGAGGAGAGCCCCATCACCTGCCTGAGCCTTTACCACTCTCAGTAACCCCTGGGCTTTAGCTACTCCCCAGCTGCAGGCCTTGGGAGAGTCAGCCGACCTCCCCAGGCCTCCGCTCCCTTATCAATACAAAAACCTGATTCCAGGCCACAGGGAAGGGACCCCAGGAGTGTCCCCAACTGGGAGGGGCCAGAGGCAGCAAGCAGAGAGATTCCCGAGAAGTGGCACACTGGGCTGGCCAGGGTGTGTCCCTGTCCCCAGTAGTGCACATGCCCTGGCATCAGCTATCCCCATCCCCACACAGGCACTATGGCTCTGCTCATCCTCATGCCCAACGCTGTCATGCAAGGGAATGAGGAGTGGAAAGGCTGTTTGAAACCTCCACCCCTCTGGGGACCATCTGCCCCTCCTACATCCTACCCCTTCCCTTTTCTAGGACTGGACATGCTTCCCTTTTCTCAGTGAGCACTGACAGAACACTGACATGTGCAAGGCCTGGGCCAGGTGTTGCATCTCACCTGGGTGCTGCACACATGCCATGGCCTCCCCTGGAGAGTGACAATCTAGCTGGGCAAACTGGCAAAGGCAACCAGTGCTAGACTCCAGGGCCCTGGGAGGAGGACAGAAACAGCCTTCTGGGGGTGGTCAGGGGGCTTCTGAAAGGAGGGTCTTTGGGCTTGACAGTTAGGATTCACCTAGTGGAGAAGGTGCCATAGGCAAGGTGATGGGGAAGGAGGAAAACCACAGTGTCTGCGGGTCAGAGATGGGGAATGCATGTAAGGCCAGGGCATCCGTGCCTCCCACTCCCATTCCCTTAGGAATGTTTTCTAGCTCTTTTTTTTTTTTTTTCCTTTCTTTCTTTCTTTTCTTTCTTTCTTTTTTTTTTCTAGTAAGCAAATGAAGCAATCCCCTGGTCCTCTTTTATTTGTTAAATGATAGCACATGAGCATGCATGTGACAGAGAGAGTCCCCTCAACAGGATCTAGTCATGCCACAGTGTCCTTTCCCCAGCCCCCCAGCATCTCATCTTGGAGGCATGTGTGCTCATACCCAGCATGTTTTCAAGCTGACCAGGTATCTGAACCCGCAGTCATCCATACAGCTTCCAGCCTTGCAGGGCGCTTACATTATTGCTGCACCAGAGCAGCTGGGTCCCCCAATTCTCTTTACCCTACCCCAGTCCTCCAGCATTTAACCATTGTTGACTCTCTAAAACACTGACTTTTTTTTTTTATGTATACTTAATTTATTGGGAGAGATAAAAACCTGGCACCCTGGACAAGGTTTGGGTGGCCCATGATCCCCTCCCCACTGCTCTCTATCTGGTCAGGATCTTGAGTACATGCACTCAGTGTATTTCAGGTTGACTGGGAATCTGAACCCAGGTCCACCATGTGGCTTCCAGCATTGCAGATCATTATGCTACTGCCTGCACCAAGACAACTGGACCAACACTGATAGAAAAGAGAATTCCAGGGCTGAAGTTCCTGTTCCTCTATCTATCTGTGTAAGCCTCAGTTTCCTCATCTATGCAATGAGAAAAATAAACATAGGGTTCTGAGATGACTGAATGAGGGGAAGAGGAAAAGATGAGATATGAGCTCTAATGCCCTCTGCAGACATACCATAGTTATGATTATTATAGTTGAATGTTATTTTTATTTTAATTGGCACGTCAGGGGCTTTGCAGGTTTTGCAGACAAGGAAGGAGAACTTGTATAGACTCTAAACTGGTATGTCCTCTTCATTACCCCGGCCAGGGGCATCACCTGGACCAGGGACAGCACCACTCCCTCCTCCAGTCACCCCTTCCCTGCCTTTAGTGCCCAGACCCTTGGCAGCAGGCTGAGACCGAGGGCTGAAAACCTTGCCCAGGCAATAGGGAGGCGGCCTGGTGTGCCTCTTGGAGTTGGACCAGCCTGCTCTGGAGTCCAGTGCTGTGTGTCTCCTAGACTCGGAGTCTCAGAGTCCTCACTATAAAACAGGAATGAAAACTACCTGGGGCAGAGCCAAGGCAAAGACTAGTACTGCCATCACTTGCATGAAGTGTTCTGAAAGTGCCTTGCTAGTAGTTTGTGTTTGATACATGGGAGCTGGGCAGGTCTCTTAAGTTGTTCAGCCATTCAAGAAACATTTCCTAAGAGTGAAAAGCACAATGGGATGGAGAAGCCAGCTTCAGACTCTTTCTCCTAAGATGTGAATGACTGCTAAACTTGTGGTCGAATCCTGGAGTGCCCGTGACTTCACAGGACTATCGGGGGGCTGCACAGCCATGGCCCCACAGTGTGTGTCTGTGGGAGTAGAGTGGAAGGCCCTGGAAGGTAAGCAGACAGACACACATCGAGCTTCCTGCCGCTCTGCCCAACAGGAGAAGGAGCCCCAGAGTTTTAGAAAGTCATTGCCAAGGTGAGCAGGGATGTCAAAACTTCTTTGGCAAGATTCTTTGGTCTTTTTAAAGGCAGAAACCATGGCCCAGAAATCAGAGTGATTTGACTAGCGTTCCAGAGGGTATGAGCTCAGAGCCTAGAGCATGGGAGACGTAGGGTAGAGCCGGGTCTAGCTAAAACTATAGTAATAAAAAGAAATGGCAGGTACCGTGCCCTTTGCTAAGGGCTTTATGGGCATATCTATCCTACAAGGTAGGTGTAGTTTTTATTCCCATTTCACTGAGAGGAAACTGCAGCACAGGGAGGTTATGTAACTCACGGATGCTCACCCAGCAAGTAAGGGCTAGAGCCAGAATTACATCAGGTACTGAGACACTGTACTGAAGGAAAACAACTCAGAAACTGGAAGCCCCAGCCACCTCCAGCCTTCAGACATGTCCTCAGGGATTCTCAGTTTTCTTGAAGACCCGCAGAGGGACACAGACGATCAGGGTTCAGC